GATCAGATCTACAAATTTGAGAACTCTTGAGCAAGTACTGCTATTTTTTTTTTAAATTCAGGAATATTAATGTAATGTATTAATGAAAAATGTGCCCCAGGTTTATAATTGGTGCCAGAAAAGAGTCCAGAAAGACGGATATCCACAGACAGGTTCAGAATAACCACTGGGAGTAGGAAATAAGGAACCCGTCACATGCAGAGGGTTTAGGACTCGTTCTGGAAATGAATGCAGCATATTTAATTAATCGAGGCTAAATTGGCTGAGTACCATTAGTTAAAAGGAACAGGAGACACTCTGAGCCAATCAGGACGCAGCACAGACGGTTTAGCTAGTCTTCACCTTTATCCCTGTAATGCCAAATGTATCATATCTGATTCATACGATTTCTGAAATGTTTTGCGTCTGACTCCTTTTGCATCATTTAATGGTAAAAACTTTGCTCTAAATCCTATTGTACACAATCAGATACACCTGATAACAGGGGGCAGAAGACTACACAAAAAATAATCTGGACTTGTCGCATAGTAATAAATTATTATTATCAAAAATGTATTTTTCTGTTTTTTATTTTTACATATTTTGTTAAAAGGCCAAATAAAGGCTTCAAACCAAAAAAAAGTCATTTTTTACTAGGTAAGTGGTTGCCAGGTATGTTTTTTTTGGGTATCGAGGAGTCCCAGGTAAGTAAAATATAGGGTTAAATAAGAGTCAATTCTTGTTGGTATTAAAACTGTGTTTAAAATCTTTTTTGTGTAATTAATACAACAATAAAAGATTAAAACCAACTTAAAATGGCGCCTCATTTTTTACAGTGCAAACAGTGCAATGTATTCCTTAAAACAGGCATAAAAGAGCTAAAAGATCTTAAAACCATGCAAAAAATGCTACAAAAAGTGATAAAAGGTGCTGCTAGCTTTCGAGCTCATAGCTCTTCATCAGGCGGTGGCAGTGTGCAAAAAAATTATAAATTAATTTAAAAAAGACACATTTGGCATTACAGGGTTAAGTATCATTTCACATTGTTTCTCTGTGAAGTTTGTCCATATCTCAGGAACAGGAACACTCACTGTTCCCACTCTTCCCAAGTCAGAAAAACAAAGAAACAACTGTGTCCAGCCTCACTTTGCTGAACATTTTTATAGAGAGAGTCTCTGCGTCGGCCATCTTTCTTATGAGGCCACTAGCCTAGCGTTTAGCTGATGAAATGCCTGTGAGGTGACAGATAAGGTCCCCCTCCTGCTGTCAGTCACTCTTTGCCTGTGGAAACCCGAAATGCAAATCAGAGAACACCACGCATGACTCAGGCTCTCCTTTGGAAAATGAAGGATTAAAATGTTTGTTTCTGAGAGCGTGATGTTAAAACTACACGTATTCCAACGCCCACTCACGAGGATTTGATAGCTCTTCATAATGCGTTCACAATCAGTGTTCACAGTCTTATGGAAAAGAAAACAGCCGGAGAGGCTTTAGCTGAAACGTCTGAGCTTTTCCTTATAAAATATGCTAACTAACCCAACCGATTTAAGCTCCATTTCAGCTCCAGGCTCCAAAAATCTGAGACAGAACCCAAATATGGATGTTTAAATCCAGATGAAAACACTTCTGTTTAACCCTTTAAAGCCTGGTCCAAAAATAAAACAAAAAAGAAAATTACTTTTTTTTGTTTTAAGTCTTTATTTGGCCTTTTAACTAAATATCTAAAAAGAAAAAACAGAAATACATTTTCAATATTAATGATTTATTACTATGCGATAAGTCCAGATTATGTTTTGTGTATCTTCTGCCCCCTGTTATCAGGTGTATCTGATTGTGTTCAATAGGATTTTGAACAAAGTTTTTACCATTAAATTATGCAAAAGGTGTCAGACGCAAAACATTTCAGAAATCGTATCAGATATGACACATTTGGCATTACAGGGTTAAGGAATTCTGCACATTTCTGAGTTCTCGTTGCTTTTATTGGCAGATTTTGACCCCTTTGCCTGGCAATCTTCCACCAAACACAAAAGCTTGAAAACCCCATATCGTGCACATTGATTCCTGATATTTTTATTTTCTTCTCCGGCTTTTTCTGTGTGCCTTTTTTAACCCTTTAAAGCCTGATCCAAGAATAAAACAAAACAGAAAAAAAAATTTGGGTTTGAAGTCTTTATTTTGCCTTTTAACAAAATATGTAAAAAGAAAAAACAGAAATGCATTTTTAATATTAATAATTTAAGTCCAGATTATTTTTGTGTATCTTCTGCCCCCTGTTATCAGGTGTATCTGATTGTGTACAATAGGATTTAGAGCAAAGTTTTTACCATTAAATTATGCAGAAGGAGTCAGACGCAAAACATTTCAGAAACCAATCAAATTTGGCACTAGAGGGTTAATTATTTTTCTTTTCTTGTTTTTCTGCTTTTAAATTCTCTGTGAAGCATTTTGACTTGTATTGTACACTAAATCTGCTGTAAAATAACATAAAAACGTCTGGTCAGTCATGGCTGTTTGATTCTAATTTAGAGGCTCATATAAAAGCGTCTGGAGTCTGGAGAAGATGCATTTAGGACCTAATTGGACTTTCTCCCTCCACCCATGATTTATGGTAATGAGTCCCCCTGCAGGGAGGCAGAATCCCAGCAGAGCCCCCCCCCCCCCCGCCCCCCCCCCCCCCCCCCCCAGAGAAGCTCTGCAGTAAAATTGACCCCAAGTGTAAGCTACACGTTAGCATAGCATGCTACAACCTAATCCATGTAAATGACTGATTGTCTTATTCCTGGTTAGATTGGAAGCCTGAGAATAAACCAGAGATAAAGAGTACAAATATGACTTTTATTGGGTCACAGGTAAAACAACCAGTTCTGACCCACAAAACTCCCAGAGGACCTCAGTCAGCCAAACCCCCCAAATCCAGGTGTGATGTGTTAGAATTAGGCTATAATTAGTCACTTTAGCATAGCATGCTACAACTTTTAATCCATGTAAATGAATGATTGGCCTATTCCTGTTTAGATTAGATTAGATTAGATTAGATTAGATTAGATTGACAAATCTAACAAAACAGACTCCTGTAGTTTCCAAACATTTGGGGGTCAGTTGGCTGTAATTAGCTTAATCAGTAGATTTATCTGCATGCTAAACCTCTAAATTCTGAAAATTGTGGGTGATTCACAAAACATCTTGAAGAAAGTCAGTTAAAGTGAAGGATTTCTGACAGTTTACTCTGCTGGTGACCAATAAAAGTCATATTTGTATTCTTGATCTGCTCTGGTTTATTCTCAGGCTTCCAGCTAAAGAACCAAATCTAACAGCTAAGGCCAAACACGCTGTATAATAAATATAATAAACATAATATAATTCCAATTATCCAGAGAGTCCGGATGCTTTGTTAGCTAGCGCAGCCCCACGTTTGTGAGATGGAGGACGAGTGTTATTGGCCAGTTAGCTCTGACAGGAACAGGCCAGGTCCTAATTCATGCAGGTTTAGGTGGAATGTGATAAGAAAGTGTGGATGTTGAGCTTGAAGACGAGTATCTACTGTAACAGAGAGAGGATAGATAGATAGATAGATAGATAGATAGATAGATAGATAGATAGATAGATAGATAGATAGATAGATAGATAGATAGATAGATAGATAGATAGATAGATAGATACTGTAACAGAGAGAGAAGGAGGAGGCACAGCCAGAGAATTTAACCCAAAAGTAGAATTAGAAAGGGGATGATATCCATCTAAACAGGAATAAGACAATCAGTCATTTACATGCATTAACCCTTTAAAGCCTGATCCAAGAATAGAACAAAACAGAAAATGACTTTTTTTGGTTTGAAGTCTTTATTTGGCTTTTTAACAAAATATGTAAAAAGAAAAACAGAAATACATTTTTGATATTCATAATTTATTACTATGCGATAAGTCCAGATTATTTTTGTGTATCTTCTGCCCCCCTACACAAAAGTAGAACTATAAAGGTAACAATATACATCTAAACAGGAATAAGACAATCAGTCATTTACATGGATT